ACACCACACAGCAATTTTTCATTTTTTTGAAGATGCTCTTGGGAATGACAGAGAGAGTGGGGTTGAGGGAGAAAGTGAGAGAAGGAGAGAGAGAGACTGACTTAAGGCTTTAAACGTTTCCAAGTATTACTCAGAGCTACATGTTCTTTAAGCATGCTTATACAATTGATCAGAATGTATGTATCCCACTGATTTTGTGATAGTTGTAGAAACTTTATAAATGCATAATTGGAATAGAGGCATGTTTCTATCTAAATCTATTCATGGTGTTTAACACACACACACACACACACACACACACACACACACAAACATACAAATCCCAAATCAATACACTTTCGGAGAGTAGAACTGGCTCTCTCAAGGAAATGTGAAGGACACCTGGTCCCAATCCTGTTCAATCCCAGAATAAGGAGGGGAAGGAACTCATCAGAGGGGGAATTTAAGCTTCTTGAACTTTTAGTATTAAAACCATTCTGTGAAAAGCTGAGTCACTAAAAAACGTTTGCCTCCTGAAACAGAGCAAGAAGTTGTTGTTTTCATGGCTGATCCTTTCTAACTTTGTAACTCTATCTGCAACTCCTGTTTCTATCTCAAGACCTCTGCAGAACTGTCTATAACCTTTTATATTATTTTTATGGAGGTGGTTGGGATTAATTTTATCTTGCGGAGCGTTGCTCTGGATGTTTCAAAGTATGTATTGTTGTTGCTATTTTTGTTGTTGTTGTTATTCTTCCACACATTTTTCAGTGCATTTGACAACTTGTAATTTAAACTATTTAGGGTCTTTACATTTCAGAGGATAGGAAGTCAACAAATAAACAAGTAAAATTAAATCAGAAAGTTCTAACTAAACAAAGCTGAATATATATTCAGGCAGGTGTTTATACTCTGGAAAACTAAGACTTACTTTTGTATTTTTTTGTAAAGTGGATGCATAAATTGTTAGAACTTTCAATAAAAGCTTCCAGAGGAGTGAGCAAAGTGAACAAAAACAGTAGAAAAAAGAAAGTCTTTTAAAAATCTGTTAAGAGAATTACAATCTTCTGTATTATAGAGGCACTTCCTCAGCAGCAAAATCTTTCCAGGAATCAGCATAAAATGATACCAAACCTACTTTTTATAATCATGCCTTTATACTTACTGCCACTTCTCTTTCTCTTCTGCTTTATTAAAAAAAAGTGGGGAAAACATCTGTACATATTAGTTTTGAGTTGCTAACTTCACACTGGGGAGACTGGAAATCCAGGACGAAACCTCAATTAATTCACTTTCTGACATCCCCTCATTTGTTTTCTGCTCAGCTCAGATAATTTGTTAACGTTCCTTTCATAAGCTGAAGAAAATAAGCAGAGCCCTTGGCCTTACACTGGAAACAGAAAGATGCCACAAGGGCTTGCAACAAGAGTCACTTTTCCAGACATGATTTTGCTCAAATTATACCATTTAGAGACAGAGCCCAGTGAAAGCAATAAAAATAACTTCAGCTTGATAAATGGTACAAGAACCTCTCAGCAGTCTCTAGCTGTCACCTCTGACCTAAAGAACATCCTTTCAAACCTGAAGTGCCCTCCGGAGACCTGACGTTCCTTGTAATTATTTACCATCTTCTGAACAGACCTGCTGGGATCTGTACACAGTAAAGCCTCAATTCCTGAATGAGCTAAAACCATAGCAACTCTCTATTTCCTTTGGACATGTTTCTTTTGCCCTCAAAGGGCTTAATAACTTGAGCTCATGTAAAAAGGTGAGTTACTAGCACCTGCTCTCAAGTGAGATGAGCCTTTTAATTTAAGGGCACATTCTGACAAGTAACTTGCCTCTCAAGATTAGCTATCATCCTCTGACTAACTGTAAAAGACATCCCAAGTAATTGGAAGACACTTTCCAAGTTCTTTAAGGCAGAGAGGCTTGGGATGAGAAGCAGTCCTATCCCACACATCCACTAAAGACATCCAAATTATAGCATGTGGGCTCTTAGTAGTAAAGCTATAAGCTAAAAACATCAAAACATTACATAAAATCGGATACTACTCACTTAACAATTCCATCACTTAGCAACAGATGTTCTAATCCCAACTGCAGTTGCAAATTACTATATGTAAATTCTCATGTATATCAATAACAGACCAATAAAATAGTCACAGCGAAAGTTAAAAACTTTACTGTTTAGTGATGGTTCTTCAAACCTTAGAAGAAAGTACTTTATGGAAGAAGTCTCCCCAACTTCAGAACCTCGAGGTAGGAGAGCCCACCCATCAATATGAAGAAAACAAAAAGTGATTAAACTTATTGTAATTGATGAAAGAGGAAATATGTCTAGGGAGAAAAACACCAAACCAACTGTTTTTGCAAGGTCCATATGCTCATGGTGCAATTTGTTTTTCATATTTAGCAGTATTTTTCTTTTTTTTAAAATCCATGAAACATGATTTCTCTGAAACCTTGATTTGTCAAGCCTGAAAGTGTAGGGCCTTAGAGCAAACAAGCTAACTGTGAAAATGGAGCTTTGGTATCTCCATAATCAAGCCAGGGGATAAGAGGCAAGAAGTTCACTACTTTATAAGTATAAGAGAAAAATTCTGGAATTGATATACTGCATAAGGGTTGATTGCTATATTCAGCAGGAGCCTATCTTGGTTATTTAAACCTTCCATCTGCAATTGAAGCATGAACCTTTCCAAATCATGTGCCTAACTTTTCCTCAGTAAGCTCCAGAATGCTGGTTGACTTTCCACAGAGAGATTGATGGCTATATTCTGAGTGAAGTTCTGAAATTCTTCACTTGTGAAACATGAAATGCCAATTTTGGCTTGATCGGATGGGTAAACATTGAACTAGTCATTTCGTATTACTTCGCCTTTTACTACTTAAATTCATTTATTGCACAAATATGAATCCAACAATGGGAATGTCTATTTTAAGACATCTAAATTCTCCAGAGACTGACTTCCAGAAAAGTTGGCCTTGTTTCTTGAAACTCTATGATTTAAGTCAAATACTTGGGATGGGAACTGAATATAAACATTATTCAAATATGTCAAACTTGTTTCTCTTTTAACATCACAGACAGGGAAGATACTGTTCTATAAATAACGTACAGCAAAGCTTCAACAAAATGACCTTGGAAGAAAATGCAAACATACAATGCATAATTTCTGGAGTTCTCCTCCTAGCAATGTATGAATCAAACTAATTTAACAGGATTCTTTGCATTCCTTTTTAAGGTTGATTTTCCTCTATATTCCCACCCATAATGTCAAACAGATGTCACCAAAGGACATGTAAATAATTATAGAAGCCTCAGACCTTTTCTATAATTGAAAGATACTGCAACTGTAATGCCCCAGTTCTTTTAACTGGTCTTTTGTTTAATTGGCCAGTTGAAGGATAAAACTGTTCTTCGTAGCTTTACAAGTATTTAAATTGCTTGTCAAGGACTTGTTTTCATTCCATTTCCCCACAAAATACAGGAAGACTTAGTTAAACTCTTATTGTCAATAAACATTATGATTGGAAATCCAGGAAAGACTATCCTAATAAAATGGCACTTTGTAATTTTCAAATCTTCATTCTTATATCACAAATACAGATTAAAAAATTTAACCGTATACTGTTGGTGAAAAATATATATTTACTGAAGGTAGTGTACATCATTAACTTTTTAAGATAAAATATTCTAATAATAACATTTGTTGCAGGTATTTTGACTGGGAAAAAAAGTGAACTTATCAACTGGAAATAGATGGAAAATATAAGGGTGTTAGCTTCATACTATTAATGTATTAATAGTCATTCATTTAGTGAGATAATCAGGTTGTCAATACTGTGTGTGTGAGTGAGTGTGTGTGTGTGAGAGCGCGTGCACACACACACACACACACACACACACACACACACACACACACAGTATCCAGGATATAACCAAGTTGTATATCAGCACAAATTATGTAGATGAACCTTTTTTATGAATCAGAATAAAATACTGAAATGCAATAAGTGGCTTTTAAAACAAAAGTCTCATGGTTGCTGAGCTCATATCATTATAATTCAGAAATATTTCTTTTATATAATTTGGTATTATAATGCAAATTATAATTAGATCTTTTATTTGCTCTAGATGGGAATACAAAGTCATGACCTTGTTTACTTCAAGGACATATCAAACAAATACATCAGTAGTCATGAGAGATGATAATAATCACAGCTGTCCTATTGCTATGCAAAACCATTATTGGAATAAAAATCAGTGTCTTTATGGATATCTATTTCCTAAACTCCTACATCCAAAACTAATTTGTTTCTTCAGACTTCATCCACAAATTGTACCTTTTCACAACATGAATGAACTTACCCTCTCCAGGTACTCAATTTCTTTTTTTAAAAAAAAAATCTTCTCCTTCCCCAGCATGTGAAAAATCAGACAACATGTGGTAGCACCTTTTCAAAGTAATTAATTTCATTAAAAGACATAAGATTTCATAGACTGTAACTCACTTCATCAGATTTTTTGCCACTATAGACTAATATGGCTGTCCTCCTACAATGTGCCAGCATGCAAGGAAATTAAGAAACTTCACATCCAATTTTATTAATCACAGTTTGACACACAGTAATTAATTTTAAGAATGCTTTGTTTGAGGAAAGCCAACATTTGTGAAACCTATGAACCAACTTGTTCCACCAAACATTTTGAGATTAACCCCAAGTTTCATAGTGTGTTAATATAAATTGGCAGTAGAAATTTGTGATGTACTTGTAGCCATATTAGAGAAGAAAAGAGAAACAGAAACATATCCAAGACAGTTTTGACTTCACAATTAATCTACAGAGTAGTAAAAAGACAAGTAAATGTTTCCCAGCAAAAGATTTCATAGAATAAACTAAGACACATTTCAAAATCCACTTCAAGAAGGCATCATACCAAAACCTCACAGCCAAAATTGCTGACTTAAGAACCAAAGCACATATAGGATGCCAAAAATAAAAACTATACTTACAGTCTGGTTAGCTTCAGCGTGTTCTGAAAAAGCAATTCTGGAAGAACTTGCAGTTTATTTCTGTTCAGGCGTCTAAAGAAAGAAACTCAGTGTTAATAGAAGATCTGTGAACATTACCAGAAAGCAATGTGCATTAACACTATTGTTACAATAGATATTGCAGACCGTTTGCAAGAAGTTTTCTTTTGTTTAACGCAGATTGCTTTTTTCAGAAAATTGTTATAGAAATAATTGATTTTTTTAAAAAAAAATCAAATACTTAATACTCATGGCAGTTTATTTGATACTTTTCCACTGTTCTCTTCCTCCCTCCCTCCCTCCCTCACAAAAACATACATAGTTCTTGCATGCTTTATTTTTAATGAGTTGAATTATGTATGTGTGAATGTATGTGTGAATATATATATTTCTGAAAGATGATATTAAGAGTCCCATTTGGCAGATCTTAGGCAGCAGCAGGCCTTTTCTCTGGTGGCACCCACATTATGGAATCTTCTTCCCCAGAGGTGAGGTTGACCTCATAACCATTGAGTTTTGATTCCTTAAGACCTGGTTGTGTTTGCAAGCCTGGAGACTCCAAGGGATAAATGAACTTGTGAGGTAACATCCCATGTTCCTTGTTTGTTTAGCTTGTTATAGTTTTTAATGCTTTTTATAATTAATAACCATATTATTAATTATATTAACACTTTTTAAGTTTATAATTAAAACAATAATGGTTTTATGCATTTAATATTTTTAGCTTTGTTATATGATGCCCAGAATTGGTTTTGTTATGATGGACAGCCATATAAATTAGACAAAGAAATAAAAATAAATAATGATGGTTTACTATGTCATGGGAATCTATCAGGGAAATTATTCTAGAAAACTGAATTACATTGTAACACTCCCAGTAGAAATTTCAAATTCTACTTTTGCGGACAACCAGCAATGAACTTCAAATTATCAGCAGAGGTTCAATCTCCCGAGTGAAAACATTTATGGAATAAGTGGCTGGTTCTGATTTCCCTTCTTATAAACATGTTAGAAGCATTCACTTACTTTTGATTAAGAAAAATGTTGAAATCAGCCCTATATTGGCTGCAGTGGGTAAGCTGCTTTGAATAGTTTTGCACAATATTATCAGAGAGGTACTATACACTAGCTTCTTCATTAAGTTTCATTGAAGTTTCAATATAAAACTTAACTCTCCCCTCCAATGTGACAATATCACAAGAGCAGAATCTTGCAAACTTAATGCTGGTTTAAAATTTGGCAAGATAAATTCTAAAGCCAGTTCTTCATATTTTTTTATGATGGAGTCAGCATTCAGCAACAAAAAACAAAGATTCTTATTCAAGCCTATAGAACACTCAGACAAAAGGAAAATAATTCAAGGTTGTAAGAACAGAACCTTGATTGTTTTGGTTATGGTGAATGCATGGGTGACACCATCTTCATTTTTCTGAAAATAACCAGAACATTGTTCTAAGGATGTTTAAGGATTGTTCTAAGGATGAAATAAATCTGAAGTACTTTTGCTCATTGTTATTCTTGGATATTCAGATCTCTTTGCAGTCTTATATGCATTGTCATGTAAGTGGGGCTACATCTGAAAACCCCAGAAACTTCAACTACAGTAGTATGTCAGAATGCTGACAAATTTTCAACTGAGAAAAGTGTCAGATCAGCAGTCTGTAAGCTGTGTTAGCTGATAACTGTTTTCAGAGTGCAAAGAGGTGTGAGGTTGAATGTAGCATCTGTCTGCAATTATTTAAAGCAGCGTTTTCCAGGGATCATGCAACTTCTTAGCAACAGCTGTACAATCCCAAGAAAAATGTGGATAAGGAATCACTACATTCATAGCCCACATGTGATGAAACACCTTTTTGCTCTATTTATTATCCTCTTTAAAGTCCAAAGTAGGATGGCTCCTGATTGTAGTTTTCATCTGAACATCATCTTTTAAAAAGCTCCTGTGCTCCCCTTATGTATGTGCACCATTGGTTTCACAACATGACCTGTAGCAACACACAAAAAGGATTTTTGCTCTTGCATGCATAGTGTACTCAGCCGCAAAACATTTAACTTTCTGCTGTCAGCTTAAAAGATTCATTTCCCAACAAGTGTTTAACTCTACTATTGAATACTCTGATTTATTGACTGCTGATTTGGGGTTGGTAACTTGCTGCTACTGTTTTTGCATTATTCTTTTTAGAAAAACATGAAAGCAAATATTCTTTTATTGTATATTGCTTTAAAAGCAACATCCTTCTCTGAAACTAAATAATGGGGATAAAACAAATCTAAAATGAATAAAAAAATCTTTTTTAGAAAAAAACAGAAAACCCTTTCAGTTTAGATTCTGTTTCAAATGAATCACTTCACCACTTCGGCTAGCCCACACTGCCAGCCCATCAAGCCCTTGCCACCTCAGAAACAAAAAGTTGCAACTTTGCTAAAGGAATAGAATTACCCAGTGGCTAAAAAGAGTTATTAGATCCAGGAATGGCTTTTGGTGGTCTGTTCTTAGCTGGAAATGAGCCTTCTGAGCATCCCCAAGAGTGTCATGTCCTGCCAGAGCTCATGAACTTTGTGGTTTGCATGTTTCCTCTACAAAAAGAAGAAATAGAAAAAAGTACCAGTCTCATCTTTGTAACCATAATTATCTGTTAGTAGCATGGGACAGTTGCTTCTGCTTTCTAATCCTATTTTATCAGTTTGCATGAGATGCTGGAGCAGAAAACTTTTGACAGGTTTAAAATATATGCTTCTTCAAGTGGTTCATCAAAATGTATTTAGTTACATTCCGATTAGCATGCACCTCTTTGTTTTTTTAAATTTTTAAAGAAGGTACAAGATCGTATTTGTATGCGGGGAGGGGTATTTTTTTCTGCCATGGAAGGCAGAAGGCAGATAAAATTACCAAATCACCCTCTATTAGAGACAGCAAAAAGAATTCTTCTTCTTCTTCCTGTGCCATATTCGTCATTGGACATTGGCAATCATGTTGGCAATCCTATTTTTGTCAACAGCCGCATGAAAAAGTACTGCTAATTTTTGTCCAACCAGTCCCTTAAATCCTTAAGATTCTTCTTCTGCCTGGACCTCATTTGCCTTCAATCTTTCCCTGGAGGATTAAGTGAAGGATGCTGTATTTTTCTGGGTGTCACATCACATGCCCAAAATATTCTAACTTTAACTTTTTAATGGCTTTGATGATTTCCCTTTACTTTCCCAGGTGGCTTATCACCTCCTCATTTGTGATTTTGTCATCCAGCTTATAAGTAACAGCTGTCTGCAAATCCATATTTCAAATGCTTCTAGTTTCTTCAAGTGTTTTTTTGTCAGAGACCAACTCTCTACTCCATAGAGCAGGATAGAAAAGATGTAACATCCAACAAGCCTGATTTTCAATCTTAGGCTTATGTTGTGACTACGGAAGACCTTTTTCATTTTGAAGAATGCTGATCGAGATTTCTCTATCCTTGCCTTTACTTCACTGATCATGTCCCAGCTTTCATGTAAATTAAAACTGAGGTACATGATCCTTTCAACTTTTTCTAGTGGTATTCCTTCCAAATTTATCAATGGTAAGTTAATAGGTTCTTTGCTGATGACCATGATCTTGGTTTTTGAGTTGTTAAGCTTCAAGCCATATTTTTCAGATATTTCTGAGACTCTGTTGATGAGGAGCTGAAGGTCTTCATGCTTATTGGCAAGCAGAACTAGAATTAATAATCTTCAAACATGGGGCCCAATTATCACCTCTAGTATCCCTTGTTACTGCCTCTGCTAATGGCGCTACAGGATATATTTATTTGCTTGATTATACTCTGCCTTTCTTCCAAGAGTTTGATAGACCTTATATAGGGATTTTCTTTCACCTTATCAACCAAAAACAATTCTGTGAAGTAATCTGAATTGAGAAAGAATGGCTAGGCCCAAATCACCCCATGAGTTTCCATGGCTAGCGGGTTTTGAGCCTGGATCACCTCATTGTAAGTCCAACCCTTGCCAGCCAAATCTCATTGGCTGCCACCCCAGAAACCTCAGGAAGGCTGTAGGTTTTTGCACCCCTATTTTCATTTGCCCTTGCCCTTAAACTTTTTAAGTTTAAGGTAAATGTGTTCCATTCAGGATAGGAAAGAATAAACTGGCAACAGAGAAGGATTCTTTTGAGCACCTAAATGACTGATTATGCATTCATCAGGAGCAGAGGGTGGGATGACAAATTGGTTTTAAAGCAAGTGCCTGATGAGGTCACCCATCTCTAACTTTCCAGTCCTATAAGGCAACACTTAAACACACACACACACACACACACATATACACACACACCCAAATATGATTGATTATCCCATACCAAGTACTGTAGATAAATGTTTCCAATTTTGAAATACCTTGCACTATTTATAGATATTTGTATCTATCCAAAAATATATATATGGATTTGTTTTTACAGTAATATGATAATGATCTATTAGTCCAAAGACTTTTCATCCCATCTCCTTGGGGCTACAATTATACTATTGTAGTCTGGAATTAGCCTGGAATGATCAATGTTCTGGCTTCTTTGGTATGTTACTAAATTTGGTAATTTTGCCTTTTCATTTTTTTTTTCTAATTTAAATTTATTTTTTTTTAAATAGCATTCTACTATTTTATTGGTATAATTTAAGATTGTTATTAATTATTAACAATTTAATATTGTTATTAATTTAGAAGTCTTTATTAAATGTAAGATATAAAACTATTCAATACAAATTCCTAAACATTTCTTGTTACTGATTTGAGTTTTATTAGACCACTGATCAAATAGCAAAATTACACCTTTCTTAAATCCCAAGTTTTTCCCTGCCTCAACAGTTTCAAAATATACATTTTGCATTGGTCAATTCATCTAGGATAGCATATTGGAACTGCAGCCTTTCTGTCATATGACCCAAGAAAGCAAGTTAAATTAACATCTCAGGACAAACTTTGGCACTGGAGTGTGACTGATGGAGGGTGGGCTAATGTTTACATTAATGTGTTTAAAAGTAACAAAACAAAAACAGAATATCTTGTTCTTTAGCTTCCAATCCATC